AGAACTGCCCTCTGATCGCTGACTCCAAGGCCTTTGCACATGCTATTTCTCCTCCTGAAAGTCAGGAAGTCAATTCTAACTGGACTCTTTCTCATTCCTCATTCCTTTGTTGCTGGTTGTTCTGGGCAAGGGTTCCGTGCCATTCTTATATGCTCCCATAGCATCCTGACTCTGCCCAAATCATAATTTTTAAAAGTGAATTCAAGAGAGGTTTACTGAGTACCTGGAATGCACCAAGCCCTTCCCGCCTCAGGCCTTTTCTCACGCGGATTTTTCTGCTTGGCATGTTCATCCTTTCACTCTTCATCTGGGTAACCCTTTTTATTCTTTGAGTCTCCCTAAAACAGTATTTCCTGCAAGAGGTCCCCTGTCCCTTTTCTCTTCCACAGCATCCTGTCTGACTTCGATAATGTGATGTCTGTCTCCTTCTCTCCACGTGGGAAGGGGCCAGGTCTGTTTTGTCTGTGATTGTGTGCCCCTCCCTAGCTCAGAGCCCGGCATGCAGCAGGCACTGGTCACATATGTGGTAAAGGAGCGAGGCAATACGGTTCTCCCGTTAGACCGTGACAAGGAGTAAAGAATCGTACGTTCCAGGGGTGAACTCAGGTTTTGTGGGGCCTGAAGGGTAGACTTAAGAAGCTTTCTTATTTAGGAAAAATACAAAATTACAAGAACAAAATTAGGCAAGAAAGTGGACCTTTATGTAGATTGGGAAAAGAGATAACCACAAATTGTAAAACTTTTAGAGTGGAAAAATACTTCAAGTATCACAAAATTAGAAAAATAATATCATGTTTTTGTTAGTTAACTGCCTAGCACACTGCAGGAAGTCTTTCTCCACATTATTTGGCTGAATAATACTCTTTTATCGCCTCTTCATCTGTAACGATTTTGTAATACTTTCTGTATAGAGAATGGAATGAGAATTAAGTCCTCTGGCATAATAAAAATTATATTTATGATTGATGGTTGGGATGCATAAAAACGTGTGACCACAGCCAGGCATACTTGTTGTTTGTAGGACTGCTACAGTTTGTATTCCACAAACACAGGATTCTGACAAATTCTATTTGGCATTTTAAAAAGGGGGAAAAAAGGAATGCACATAATTGTATTGCCGCATTACGCGATATAGGACTAGGTATCACTGAGAACTGAATTGTATACTAACAATCTTACACATCTGATGATTGGAAGAATTTCCTATGGACTAGCTTCTGGCTCTATACACTTCACATCTTGTTTCTTCTCTATTACGCACATGCTTCCAGGGCCAGGTTCCATGGGACACTCACAAATCTCATTTGGTCTTTGGCCCTGTATTAAGTGTCACAATGCCAGGTAAGTTGGCACCATGGGCAGTAAGAGTGTTCCTGGGAGTTCAGGACCATCCTGGCCAATATGGTAAAACCCCATCTTTACTAAACATACTAAAATTAGCCGGGTGTGGTGGCGGGTGCCTGTAGTCCCAGCTACTCAGGAGGCTGAGGCAGGAGAATCACTTAAACCCAGGAGGTGGAGGTTACAGTGAGCTGAGATCACACCACTGCACTCCAGCCTGGTGACAGAGCGGGACTCCACCTAAAAAAAAAAGAAAAAGAAAAAAGAAAAAGAGCGCTCCTGGGAGCCATTTCTACACTGAGATGGCTGGCGAAAACCAACTCTACACAAAAGTGACAAAATGACTGCAAACAACCTAGATATGTCCCATAAAACAACTGTATCCCTAACTTAACTTCCCCCATCCAGATCCCAAAAATGTCCATGGCCACTCAGTTCTGGGCAACACGAGGGGGGGTCTGACAGAGGGAAAGTCTGAGTGGAAAGAGATAGCAGTCTTAGTGAGTTAAGTTTGGCAAGTTTCACAAAACATATGATCGCCACAGACACATTACGAGGGCCCCCTTCGGAACTGTCCTAAGGGGTGGCCCTAAAGCTTAAGCTTTGTTAACTTCATAGTAAATTTGCCTCTGCCTGTATTGTATTCATTACTATGTGTGGCCCCTGGTACCACACCTGGCACATAGTAGTTGCTTAATAAATATATGCTGAGTGAGGAAAAGTGTTGCTTGGCCTCATTACTCAGGAGATAGTCTCTTTCCTCAGTAGATCTCATCACTTTGTTTGAAAGCTGGGACTCAGATAGTTGAGTAGACTTATTGGAGGCACTGGGAGAGGAAAGAAAGGGACCGCTTGGTGGGATAAACTTTCCCATTTCCTCATCACCGAACAAGTAAGCCAATGCCAACACATCAGCTGCCCTCATTAGCAGTGAAGCGGCCCTGGCTGCCCTCCTGGGGTCATTCTAATTGGCTCCAATCAGAGAAAGCCAGGTCTGGGCTTTATTAACAGTGACAGCAGCTCTACCGTTAGAAGAGCAGGTAGAAAGGTCACACTGGAAACACCATTTCCAAGCACAGAGTAATTACAGACAGCTCATTCTGGCTTTCACAGATATGCCGAGGAATCTTTATTTATCCAGTCCTGCTGATAGTGGCCTTCCGGCTTCCTGTTTCCATTTTCTTCCTTGTTGTGAGACGGTTGAACTTTGGGGTCCCACACACTTCTTTTTTTTTTTTGAAACAGAGTCTTGCTTTGTCGCCAGGCTGAAGTGCAGTGGTGCGATCTCAGCTCACTGCAACCTCCGCCTCCTGGGTTCAAGTGTCCCTCAGCCTCCTGAGTAGCTGGGATTACAGGCATACGTGCCACTGCACCTGGCTGATTTTTGTATTTTTAGGGTTTCACCATATTGGCCTCGATCTCTTGACCTCTTGATCTGCCCACCTCGGCCTCCCAAAGTGCTGGGATTACAGGCATGAGCCACCACATCCGGCTCACATTTTTCTTTATGGCCTTGAGTCCAGCAAGAAGAAAAAGCCTGGATTCCTAAGGATCTGACTCTAGGTGTCTCCGGTGCTGAAGAATTGGAGTCTAACGTGCTAGGGTAAGGAGACTAGGCTATGTTCTAGACAGGCGTAAGTCTTTGGAGGACCGTAGTGTAAAGGTACTGGTGATGGAGAAGCAAAGGCACTTCATGCTCTAGCAGCCACTCGGCACGTCCACCTTGTCTGCTGCTCTCTCGGCGAAATCTTCCCGGACCCCCGGGCAGTGAGCCACTCCTCTGTGCTCCCACAACATCGGGCTCATGTCTCTATGACACGACTCACGGCATTGTCTTTCATTTATTAGCTTAGCCACCTGTCTTCCAAGATGGACTGTCAGCAACTCAAGGGCACTAACAAGTCTCATTCACATTTACAGTTTTGGTTTATTCCCTAAGCACAGGGCCCAGCACTTGGTACATATTGACTGACTGTCCAAAGAAGGGAGTGGAAGACATTGGTAATAAGATGAACCAGGAGTTTCCAGAGAGCTGAACACATGGAAGTTCCTGGAGGGTGGTGCACCCAGCTCCATGCTCCTTCCCCCAAACCTTGCTCTTGTGTCTCTTCATCTGTGTCCTTTATAACAAACCAGTAAACATAAGGTCTATAAGAACGTAATAGGGTGAAGTGAGGTCATAAGGGCAGCGCCTTATCCCATAGGACTGTTGTCCTCATAAGCAGAAGACACCGTGAAAGCTTCTCTCCACACAAGCATAGCAAAGAGGGCATATGAGGACACAGGCAGAAGGCAGCCACGCACGATGAGGGATGAGAGTCCTCCTCAGAAACCAACCCTGGTGGCGCACTGATATTAGATCTAGCCTCAAGAAATGTGAGAAAATAAATTACTGGGTTTTTTTTTTTTTCTTTTTAAAGATGGGGTTTCTCCATGATAGCCAGGCTGGTCTTGAACTCCTGACCTCAGGTGATCCACCCACCTCGGCCTCCCAAAGTGCTAGGATTACAGGCGTGAGCCACCGCACCCAGCCTCAACTGTAGTTGTTTTTTTTTGAGACAGAGTCTTGCTCTTCTTGCCCAGGCTGGAGCCCAGCGGCATGATCTCAGCTCACTGCAACTTCCACTTCCTGGTTTCAAGTGATTCTCCTGCCTCACCCTCCCAAGTAGCTGGGATTACAGGTGCCCGCCACCACACCTGGCTAATTTTTTTTTTAAGTAGAGATGGGGTTTCACCATCTTGGCCAGGCTGGTCTTGAACTCCTCACCTCGTGATCCGCCCATCTTGGCCTCCCAAAGTGCTGAGATTACAGGGATGAGCCACTGAGCCCGGCCTCCTTTTTTTTTTTTTCTTTCTAAAAAAGATGAACTTGTGTGGGCATAGAGTTTTACAGTAGAAATAGCAGGTCTAAGAGGTTAAGTTTGGTCTTGGGAGTAAACTGGTTCAAATTCCAGCTCCACCGCTATTTTAATGAGAATTAGGTTTGGCTACAAATGACTGAAGCCCCAAAACAACAGCGGCTTAAGCAAGTTAGATGTTCACTTTTCTCTTTCACGTAGAATTCTGGAGGTGGCCACCTCAGGACTCCCAAGTTAGCTCCAGCGTGCCTGGGGCACTCAGGCTCCTGCTCTTTGGCGGCTCCGCTGTTAATAGCCTTGGTCCAATCATGGCACTGGGTGGCACCCTCCAGCTCAAGCCGTCATGTCTGCATTTCACCGGCGGAGAGAAGGCTCAGAGTTCCAGGAAGTTGCACATACCTATCCTGTTGCCCACAAATTAGTCACGTGGACACCTAGCTTCAACAGAGTCTGGAGGATGTAGTTATAACTCTAGCAGGCCACATGCTTAGCTAAAAATGAGGGTCTAATACTGTACAAGAAGGAGAAATTCGATTTCAGAGAAAAATAGTCTCTGTCGTACTCACTAACTATGTGACTTTGGGGAAATGAATGAATCTCTCTGATTCTCAGTTTCCTCGTTCAAGAGATAGAAGAATGCAAACAAACACCTTAGCAAAGTGCCTTGCATTGCTGAACGGCTGAGCTACTATCATTTTCCTTTGGCTGTGGCTAGGCTGGCAGGAGGTGGTATCCCTCACAGGAGCATGTACACTTAAGCCTGCCTGAATCTGAGTTTTTATTTGTGACTTGGGGTTTGTTACATCTGCGTTTTGAGCACTGTTCTCATAATGGAGTTTCCTGATTTGGGGAAGTACTGTTCAGAAAAAACTTGCAAGCAGCTAGATTTTCTTCCAGTAAAATGTGATACGTGTAAACAAGATTTCTGTAAAGGTCATTTTACATATGCCACACGTAAGTGTCCATCTGCCTTCCAGAAGGATGTTCAGGTCCCGGTATGCCCACTCTGTAATATCCCCATCCCAATAAAAAAGGGACAGATCCCAGCCGTGGTGGTTGGCGATCACATGGATAGAGACTGTGACTATCATCCTGCGAAGAAGAAAGAGAAGATTTTTATATGCCGGTGCTCAAAAGAGGGCTGCAAGAAGAAAGAGATGCTGCAGATGGTGTGTGCCCAGCGTGACGGCAACTTCTGTGTCCAGCACAGACACCTCCTGGACCACAGCTGCAGACCCAGGAGTCGCCCCACCATCAAAGCCGGGTGAGAAGAGACTCGGCTGTGATGGCACTGGCCGGGAACACATGGTAGCGTGCTGGAACCAGCTTACACTCCAAAGTGCGTAGTGCAGGGACACTGAGCGCCGGCCCACACTAAGCTGCTGATCTTAACTGTTTGTTGAGGTAGATGGGAATGTAATAAAAGTGAATGCCGAAGTTGAAAAAAAAACAAAACCCCAAGATTCTGCACGGTAGTTTTCTCATTTATAGAATGGAGGCAACAATAACCCTTTCTTTATAGGGTTCTTGTGAGGATTATTTGCGATATGGCATGTAAAGCATTTTGTAGAGTACTGAGCAAGAAAGACTCTGTAAATGCTGGCTTCTGCTCTTATTAGTAGTCAAGACAAGCCCGGAGTGACCTTGAGACCGACCATGAAGAGGATGCTGGAGAAGGTTCCATGAGATTCAGACTCCAAAATTCAACTCATTCTAAGGGGCGGGACTGATGCTGTAACCAGGAGGCAATAAATTAACTTGGCCCACAGTGACTGTGTTAGTGCGCTTGCATCTTGAATTCTCTCCAAATAGAGCTAACCTTAAAGGCAACGGGAACATCCTCTGCCTTCCTGCATGTTTTCACTCCCCAGCAATTCTCATCTACAGGATGCCTTCCCCAAAGGGCTCAGGGAAGAAGCACCAGGATTAGGAGTCCTAAAAGTCAGAAGGAATTTCTGGCCCCAGCAGGACCTGGAGGGCTGTGCCCAGGCTGTGAATGGGCTGGGAAAGCCTGTCCCCTCAGGCAGAAGTTGCAAAGGAGCAGAAAATAAGCCAAAATGAGGTGAGACAGACTTCAGCTTGATGAAACGAACAAAACACTATTTCTCTTTAGCTCAGGCTCCTGGGATTAGTGGTTAGGACCCGAGAGTATACTGGGTGTTTATTCTCGCTTCGAGGAAAAGGAAGGGTCAGAGGCACAGGGCCTCTCCTGGTAGCTCCTTGTTGCTTCTACTTCTTGCAGAAGCCAAACTGGGACCCTCTGCCATGTACCCTTCATGTTCACAGGCTGCTTCTCAATTCAGCCCCAGCTGAGCAACTGCCAGGGGTCCCTGAGAGATGGGAAAGACTGGGTGGGAAATGGATGATTGCAACCCTGCTGGTTCCCAGGCTTCCAGGCTCCCAGGGAACCCTTCCCACTCAGTGCAACTGACCGCCACGGTGACTGCTCCATCAGTTCCCATGGCTGCTGGGCAACCCACCTGTAAAGGAAACCCCTGTTTGATCCCAGAACATTCCCACCTAAATCACAAATCTGCTGTTCTTCTGCAGTCTGCAAAGAGGATGTATCATCTGAAGGGAAAAATTGGAAACAACCTAAATAACTAAGGAAAGGAGATTGGTTGCACAAATGATGGTTACATCATTTCAAGTAATATGTGGCCATTAAAAAAATATAATCACGAGGATTATGTGGTGACTTGGAAAAGTGCTTATGACATTAAATGAAAATATAAAATCTCATCTCTGCCATGAGCGCAGTGGTAAAAACTGTATGTACATCTGGATAAAGAAAAATACACCAAAAAAAAGGGGAAAAAAATGGGGTGGGAGGATGGTGGGTACAATTTCCCCTTTCATGTATTCTGGTATCTGTTCTTCTGTTTGTGCACTAAGAAAATCATTTTAAACTCTTGCTCACTAACCTATTATGCACTTTCACTTTCCCCAAAGAGGAAGAAACCTCATCCACTGAAATTTGCCAGTGTAGCTCCTCTGCTTATTTTGATATCAAATTTTTAATCAATATTCTCAGGAAAAGATATGACTATTTTAAGTTGAAAGCAAATTACAGATGAACTCATTTCCCTGGTCAATTCTCCTCCCAGTAGGTGGTGATAGTTAAAACCAGCTCCTTAAGGGCCAAATCAGTCCTACCCCTGCAGTGAGGACTGTAAACAACTTGGATTCTTCAGGTGCTCAGCGTTTGAATTCCTGGGCCACCTGCAGACTCACCTGAAGTAGACATTGGAGGTGGGGCTGGTTACTGTTAGGCACCAGAAACAAAGCTACTCAAAAATCCTTACTCTTTGAATTTGAGTGAATTCTGAGTGAACAGGAAAAATAAGAAAACATCACTTAACAATGACCCAGAATTTCAGGAGCCATTTTAATACCATCCTTGCCACGAACTCATTGTGTAAGGCTAAGCACATCACTCAACCACTCTCCAGATTAAGGGAACGGATTGTAACCTGCCTGTAAATGGCTGATGGACAGAAAACCAGGAAAACAATGGCGCTGAACACTTTGCAAATAGGAAACAGAGTCCATTTGAAAGCACCTGGGAGCTGGAGTCAGAAAGTCTGGATCCAAGCCAAGGATCTGCCGTACATGATCACTGGGACTCCAGGCTATTCGTTTCTGAGTCTGTTTCCTCATCAGTCAAATGGGGATAAGACTCTAAGCAACCGGATTGTTGTGACATTTAAGTGAGATTATGAGAAAAAGCTTTGTAAATTGTAAAGCACATGTATGAGTTTGTTATGGTTGTCGTAATAAAATTCCACAGACTGTGTGGTTTAAGCAACAGAAATTAATTTTTTTTCTTTTTTTGAGACGGAGTCTCACTCTTGTCACCTGGGCTGGAGTGCAATGGTGTGATCTCAGCTCAACGCAACCTCTACCTCCCTGTTCAAGCGATTCTCCTGCCTCAGCCTCCTGAGTAGCTGGGATTACAGGCATGCACTACCACGCTCAGCTAATTTTTTTATATTTTTAGTAGAGACAGGCTTTCACCATGTTGGTTGGCTGGGCTGGTCTCGAACTCCTGACCTTGTGATCTGCCCGCCTCGGCCTCCCAAAGTGCAGGGATTACAAACATGAGCTGCTGCACCCAGCCCTCCCCCTGCCGCCCGAAATTTGTGAAGCCAGAAGCCCGAGATTAAGGCGTCAGCAGGGCTGGTTTCTTGCAAGGCATCTGCTTGGCTTACTGACAGCCACCTTCTCTGTATCTTCCCATGATCTTTCTCCACGTGTGTCTGTGTCCTCGTCTCCTCTTCCTATAGGACACCCATCATATAGAATCAGGGCCCACCCAAATGACCTCAGTTTAACTTAATTCCTTCCCAGAAGACCCATCTCCAAATACAGACATATGTGATTTGCTTTATTGTACTTGGCTTTATTATGCCTCACAGAAACTGCTTTTTTTGCGAATAGAGGGTTTGTGGCAACCCTGCATTGAGCAAGTCTCTTGGCATCATTTTTCCAAATACACGTGCTCACTTCATGGCTTTGTGTCACATTTGGGTAATTCTCATAATATTTCAGACTTGTTCATTATTATTTCTGTTATAATCATCTATGAAAAGCGATTACTTGATGTTCCTATTATAATTGTTTTAGGGTGCCATGGACCGTACCCATATAAAAATGGCAAACCTAACTGATGAATTTGTGTGTTCTGATTGTTCCACTGACTGGCTCTTCCCCAATAGCTCCTTTCCTTGGGCCTCCCTGTTCCCTGTGACACAATATTATTAAAATTAGGCCAATTAATAATCCTAATATGGCTTCTAAGTGTTCAAGTGAAAGGAAGAATTACATGTCTCTTTCAAGCAAAGCTAGAAATGATTACATTTACCGAGGAAGTCACGTCAAAAGCTGAGACAAAGGCTAGGCCTTTTGTGCCAAACAGTTAACCAAGTTGTGAGTGCAAAGGAAAAGTTCTTGAAGGAAATCTGAAGTGCTAGTCCAGTGAACACACGAATGGTAAGAAAGCAAAACAGCCTTATTGCTGATGTGGAGAAAGTTTGAGTGGTCTGCATAGAGGATCAACCAGCTACAACATTCCCTTAAGCCAAAGCCTAATCTAGAGCAAGGTCCTAACTCTTTTCCATTCTGTGAAGGCTAAGAGAGCTGAGGAAGATGCAGAAGAAAAGTCTGAAGCTAGCAGAGGTTATTTCATGAGATTTCAGGAAGGAAGCCATCTCTAAAATATAAACGTTCACGGAGAAGCAGCAAGTGCTGACGCAGAAGCTGCAGCAACTTACCCAGAAGATCTGGCTGAGATTATCGATGAAGGGGCCTACCTTAAACAACAGATTTTCAGTATAGATGAAACAGGCTTATATTAGAAGATGCCATCTAGAACTTTCATAGCTGGAAAGGAGAAGTCAATGCCTGGTTTCAAAGTTTCAAAGGATGTGCTGATTCTCTTACTAGGGGCTATGCAGCTAGTGACTTTAAGTTAAAGCCAGTGTTTATTTGCCATTCCATAAGTCCTAGGGCCTTTGAGAATTATGCCGATTCTACTCTGCCTATGCTCTATAACTTGGACAACAAAGCCTGGATGACGGCATATTTGTTTATAGCATGGTTTACTGAATACAGTTGACCCATGAACAATCCAGAGGTTAGTGGCACTGACCCCCACCACAGTCAAAATTTGTGGATAACTTTTGACTCCTCCAAACTTAAGTACTAATAGTTTACTGTTGACCAGAAGTCTTACCAATAATATAAACAGTCAATTAATACATATTTTGTATATGTGTTACATACTGTATTCTTACAACAGATCAAGTTAGAGAACATAAAATGTTAGTAAGAACATAATAAGAAAGAGAAAATGTGTTTATTATTCACGAAGATAGAAGTGGATCATCATAAAGGTCTTCATCCTTGTTGTCTTCATGATAAGTAGGCTGAGGAGGAGGAAGATAAAGTGTTGGTATTGCTGTCTCAGAGGTGGCAGAGGTAGAAGGCGAGGCAGAAGAGGCAGGCACACTCAGTGTACGTTTTATTGAAAAAAAATCCATACATAAGTGGACCTGCATATTTCAAACCTGTGTTGTTCAAGGGTCAATTGTATTTTAAGCCCACTGTTGCGAACTACTGCTCAGAAAAGAAAAGATTTCTTTCCAAATATTACTGTTCATTGACAATGCACCTTGTCATCCAAGATCTCTGATACAGATGTACAAGAAGATTAATATTGTTTTTATGTCTGCTCACACAACATCTATTCTGCAGCTCATCGATCAAGGAGTAATTTTCACTTTCTAGTCTTGTAATTTAAGAAATACATTTTGTAAGGCTGCCACAGATAGTGATTCCTCTGACGGACCTGGGCAAAGTAAAATCGAAAATCTTCTGAAAAGGATTCACCATTCTAGATGCCGCTAAGAGCATTTGTGATTCATGGGAGGAGGTCAAAATATCAACATTAGCAGGATTTTGGAAGAAGTTGATTCCAACTCTCACGGTTGACTTTGAGGAACCTAAGACTTCAATGGAGGAAGTAATTGCAGATATGGTAGAAATAGCAAGAAAACTAGAATGAGAAGTGGAGCCTGAAGATGTAACTTGAGAAAAGAAAAACAGCTCAGACCAGAAAGACTTCAGTCATTGCTCTCCACCTACCCATGCCTGGGGGTAATTGTTGAAAGATATTTGTTTCTGACCAGCTGCCTCACCCATTATCTTCTTGTTCCTGGAATCTGTGATACAAAGGACAATGTATAGCCAATGAACAGCTTATGTTATTTTAATGAAAATTCTCTGTAAACACCTTTGGAACTTGCTCTTCTTTTTTCCTTTAAAAAACCCCACTTAATAACTGCTGCTAATTAGAGCATATATTCAGGGCAACTTGAATCTATGCTCCTGGGTTGCAGTCCTCAAACTTGACGCAAACTTATACTAATTTTGCCTCAGTTTTTTTCTCCAGGTTGACATTTTGAATTGCTGCAATTTAATAGAAAAATATAAAATTTTATCTAATAAAATTGCAGCAATTCAAAATTTTTCCAGAGGAAAAAACTTGAATGGATGAGGAGCTGCTTATTATAGATGAGCCAAGAAAGTGTGTGTTTTTTTTTTTTTTTTTTTTTTTGAGATGAAATCCACTCCTGGTGAAGATGCTGTCACCATTGTTAAAATGACCACAAAGGATTTAGAATATACATAAATTTAAAGCAGTGACAGGGTTTGAGAGGATTGTGTCCAGTTTTTTTTGTTTTCCATCCCCTCAAGCATTCATTTATCCTTTGAGTTACAAAAACAATTCAATTACACTCTTTACATTATTTAAAAATGTACAATTAAGTTATTGCCTATACTCATCCTATTGTGCTGTCAAATAGTAGGTCTTATTCATTCTATTTTTTGTGTTAAATACTTATCAACCATCTACACTTCCCCCTGAGTTCCCTAATGCCCTTCCCAGTGTTTATTTATTTTTTTTATGGCTGAATAGTACTCTATTGTGTGTATATACCACATTTTCTTTATCCATTCGTCTGCTGATGAACACCTAGACTGCTTCCAAATCTTAGCCATTGTAAACAGTGCTGTAACAAACATGGGAGTGCAGACATCTCTTGGATGTACTGATTTCCTTTCTTTGGGGTTTACTTTTAATAGGATTGCTGGATCACATGGTAGGTAACTTTTCAGTTTTTTCAGGAACCTCCAAACTGTTCCACATAGTGGTTGCACTAACTTACATTCCCACCAACACGCATAGGATTCCCTTTTCTTCACATCCTTGCCAGCATTTATTATTGCCTTCTTTTGGATATGACCATTTTAACTGGGATGAGAGGATATCTCATTGTAGTTCTGATTTGCATTTCTCTGATACTCAGCGACATTGAAGACTTTTTCATATGCCTGTTTGCTATTCTTCTTTTGAAAAATGTCTGTTCAGGTCTTTTGATCATTTTTTATTGGATTATTAGATTTTTTTCCCCTATAGAGTTATTTGAGCTCCTTATATATTCTGATTATTGATCCCTTGCGGGATGGGTAGTTTGCAAATATTTTCTACCACTTTGTGGGTTGTCTCTTCACTTTGTTGATTGTATTCTTTGCTGTGCAGAAGCTTTTTAACTTGATGGTAATCCCACTTGTCCATGTTTGATTTGGTTGCCTGTGTTTGTGGTGTATTGCTTAAGAAATTTTTGATCAGACAAATATCCTGGAGATTTTCCCCAATGTTTTCTTATAGTAGTTTCATAATTTGAGGTCTTAAATTTAAATCTTTATCCATTTTGATTTGATTTGTGGATACGGCAAGAGATAGGGGTCTGGTTTCATTCCTCTGCGTATGGATATCTAGTTTCCCAGCATCAGTTATGGAAGAGCTATGTTCTTGCCCTCTTTGTCAAAAATTAGTTCACTGAAGATGTGTGGATTTGTTTCTAGGTTCTCTATTCTGCACCATTGGTCTGTGTATTCTGTTTTTATGCCAATACCTTGCAGTTTTGGTTACTATAGCTCTGTATATAATTTGAAGTCAGATAATTTGATTCCTTCATTTTTTTTTTTTTTTTTCATAGTATAACTTTAGCTATTCTGGGTGTTTTGTGCTTCCATATATTTGGGATTATTTTTTCTATTTCTGTAAAGAATGCCATTGGTATCTTGGTAGAAAGTACATTGAATCTATAGATTTCTTTGGGTAGTATGGACATTTTTAACAATATTGATTCTTCTAATCCATGAACAAGGAATATTTTTCCATTTTTTGGCATCTTCATCAGTTTCTTTCAATTGAGACCAATTTTGAAAGAAGTTCTGATTAAAATGATATCAAACAGCATCTCATGTTACAGAGAAAACTTTTGTGAAAGGAAGAGTCAATCAATGTGACAAACTTCGTCTTATTTTAAGAAAGTGCCACAGCCACCCCAGCTTTCAGCAGCCAACAATATCGTGGCAAGATCCTCCACCAGCAAAAAAGATTACAACTCCCTGACAGCTCAGATGATCATTAACACTTTTTAGCAATAAAGTATCTTTTAATTAAGGTATGTTCATTTTTTTCTAGACATAATGCTGTTTTGTTGCACACATAGTAAACCACGGTATAATATAAACATAACCTTTATATGAGCTGCAAAACCCAAAAAAATGTGTGGGACTGGCTTTACTGTGACATTTGTTTTATCGCAGTGGCTGAAACTGAACCAACAATATTTCCAAGGTATGCCTGTTCAATCACGTTCTGAGGTATTGGGGTTTAGGACTTCAATATATGAATTTGGAGACACAATTCAGCCATAACAGCACAATGTAAATATTTTTCTGGACTTACCTGGGACTTCCCAGGATGGGCATTTAGGACACAGAAGGAAGAAGCCTTGCTGACTGCTTTTCCGCTACACCATCATGGCCAGTGACAGTAGGAGAGACAGGCAGGAGCTCTGAACTTAGTCTCTGCTGCTTCAGGGCGGGCATCTTCTCCGTCTGTGCTGCCTCCAGTCCTGCTCAGCAAATAAATGAGCTGTCTTATTCCCTTTGGGGTTGGAATGCTTTTTTGTAGGAAAGGAGTTATCAAATACCTAACAGCTGCTAACTGTTAAGTATTAACAGGGGAAACAGGTGTGCATGGGCTGTGGGCATTTGTCTCTGTTTACATATGTGAGTATCTTCTGGAAGAGTCCATCCAAGCCCTTTAAGGAGGTTTCACCAGCTAAAGGAAAAACTATTCAAGGGGAGGCCAGGTCACTTTTCTTCCAAATTCTTCCCTAAGTATTTACTTTCATCTGCTGGGAAAGGGCCTCAACAAACATTTATCAAGGACATCTTTGGTGCCTGGGGCTGTGCTGGGACGGGGAAGAATGCAGTGCTTCTCAGGGCCTGTTCAGTAAATACAGACATTGCTCAACCCACAGGGAGGGGAGAGAGCCCGAGGGTTCAGGAGCTGGGAATGCACCTGTGCCAGCAGAGTGGAGGAGGGCTCTGGTCAGGAAGACAGGCCATTCGGGGCTGCTGTGTTATTTTTTGTTTTGCCTCTTTACGGATGTAAGGAAGAGGCACGGCCACGTTACCTGCAAGGCATCCCTCCGTGGCAAGCATCTCATCCTCTCAGCATTGCTGCGTCCCAGTGCTTGCAAGGCGGTGGGGGTGAGGAGAGGGTTCAGTGCTCTTCACGGAAACTGGATTTCAACTCGAGGCCAATAGATTTGCCCTCTTTCTGAATGTCTAGAATTTATCCCAGGAGAGGAGAGGATCTAGCTATGTCAGTTTACCCCTCTCCAAAATGGAGCTCTCCTATCGGCCAGAAGCAAAGGACATTTGTTGTTTTTGCCTGCCCAGCTTACCTCCCACTTCTCTTGGAAATAAAACCACACTTTCCTTCCCGGAACCCATTCTATGTGGTTCAGGTGGGGCTGATTTCATCTCCCTCAGTGCAAGGAAAGGCGTTATCAAACACGTGACAGCTACTAACTCTTACGTATTAACGGGGAAACAGGTGTGCAGGGGGAGCAGCGGAGAGTAAGTTCAGAGCTCCGGCCCGTGCCTCCGACTGCCACTCGCCATGATGGTGTAGCGGAAAAGCAGTCAGCAAGGCTTCTTCCTTCTGTGTCCTAAATGCCCATCCTGGGAAGTCCCAGGTAAGTCCAGAAAAATATTTACATTGTGTTGTTATGGCTGAATTGTGTCTCCAAATTCATATATTGAAGTCCTAAACCCCAATACCTCAGAACGTGATTGAACAGGCATACCTTGGAAATATTGTTGGTTCAGTTTCAGCCACTGCGATAAAACAAATGTCACAGTAAAGCCAGTCCCACACATTTTGGGGGGGGGGTTTGCAGCGCATATAAAGGTTATGTTTATGTTATACTGTAGTTTACTATGTGTGCAACAAAACAGCATTATGTCTAGAAAAAAATGAACATACGTTAATTAAAAGATACTTTATTGCTAAAGTGTTAATGATCATCTGAGCTGTCAGGGGGTTGTAACCTTTTTTTGCTGGTGGAGGATCTTGCCACGATATTGATGGCTGCTGACTGGTGACAGTGGTGGCTGCTGAAAGCTGGGGTGGCTGTGGCAATTTCTTAAAATAAGACGAAGTTTGTCACATTGATTGCCCTGTCCTTAGTCTAGCCAATAGGAGTAGCTCTCTAGCCCTTGTCACAGTGATTGGCACAGAGTTGGGCACATGACTCAAGCACAGCCAATCAGAGCCTCCTTCAGGCATTGGTGTGGCAGCCGCAGGAGAGCAGTCCTGCCTTCCTCTTGGATAACAAGCTCTGAGGATGGCTTGGAGCTGCTTGCAGCCATCTTCTCCAGTGGTGCAGGGCACAGAGGACACTGATCATCTGGAGAAAATGAAGCCAATGTACAAAGAGAAATAGCAGAGAGATGGAACGCTCAAGTCAACCTTAAAGGCTATGTCTCAGCCTCTGGATCCATCTCCTCTCAGGAGCTAAGACATTTCCTGTCTTGCTTATACTCCTTTGAGCTGGGTTTCTGTCGCTGGGATTGGAAAACTCCTGATGCAGCAGCAGAGTTTGTGCTGAGCCCCCTCAGAGACAGCATTTCTCATGCTCGGCCTGTTGTGTTTACCCTTGGCTGGAGCCCTGATTCTCATTAAACTAATTATGGGCAGAGTATGGGGACTACATTCACTCAGAGATCAGGGCACAAAGCATTGCAACTTTATGCAGAAATGACTGCTGAGGACCACTCCTCTTGGAAGTAAGCTGTGAACTAGAGTCATTTCACACTTAAACCCTGCCCTCTATGTCTTTGGTCTTTAAACTGGTTTCTATCCTTTACTTTCCGAGCGTGTATTTTCAAATCACCCCTTGGGGGTGGGGTCTCAGGAACTTCGCGGTCTCCGTATCAAACACAGGGAGGTATTTACCATGCATGACAGAGTTTCCTCTGGCTCTTCGAACTGCAGAGGAGTACTGAATTGCACTCACGAGCATGCATGGTGGGGTCAGGTGGAATGAAGATCTTTGCTTTGAGGCAGTGTAACCTGTCTCCCTTCCACTGCCATTGTGAGTTCCTCAACCCAGGTTACTATCAACCTCGCCCCATGTCTCCAAATTACCCTGTGGTCCACTGGCCATTTTACATGCGTGCCATTCTAGCCTGAGAACATGCCAGCTCCTTTCCCCTAATGTCTTATTGCCTGTATGAATCTAAACTTGAGGGAGTCTACTGGATTATCTTGCCCGTGACCATAGCAGTTTACATGTGAGTTTGGTTGGGGACTGAGGCTCCAGATCCACTGAGGGTCCAGCCTTCTCTTCCAGTATTTACTTTTGTTTGCAAATGAGTACCTATTCTGACTCCGACTCCAGGGTCTTATAAAGCTTTCCTAACTCAATTTTCAGAGGTAAGAATAGACTCACCCTGCACATCTGATCGGCAGCGTCCTCTGCTTCCTTTTTGCGCAGGGCACTCGTGTTGTTTCTCCTCTGCTAAGCAGTCGCGGCGGCTTTGGTTTCTCTCTCTGCTGTGTGACACAGCATGAAGGTTTGGACAGGAGTTTAACTATTCCCCTTTAATGTTTTTGTTGTGTTACAGTCAAATTGTGTCTTCTTAAAGGTTGCTTCCTGCCCTTTCTTTGGAGCAAGAAAAAAAATAATGTGGCTGTGTGTGTCTTATGCCCTATCTGTGTAAAATGCCTTTCATTATTGATAAAGATATACTATTCCAGGAGACTCACCTGTTTCACCAGGTCAAGAGCTGGAAACCTTTCTCCAGGCTGTGTTCAGCCTCTAGCCCCACAGTCATGTGAAGGCAAAGCAGTCTTTCTTGCAGGTGTTCGGCACACAGGCCATAAGCTGAGAGCAGCGGATGGCATGCGGCAGGAAGAGGCTCACCTTCTGCTTTATCATGTGGGATTCTAGTGGATCTAGAGAGGGAACGCCAAGGAGAGGACCTAGACTCATAACCCCACACGCCACCCTTTTGTTCCTCCTGAGATTAACAGTGCTTATCACTTTTTAAGGTTCTGTTGATGTGCCAGATACTTTAAGTACTTGACATATGTTATCTAAACCTTAAAAGAATTTTATGAGGTAGCGAATATGATTCCCATTTTATACAGAAACAAACTCAAAGATGCTGAGTGAATACCTGAAGAAGTTAAGAGGCTGTCATGCAGCCAGAGGTGGCCCTGGGCTTTTGAGAGCTGGCAGGTGGCCAGCACCCAGGTGAGAGCTACAGGGTGGCCTGCAGACCCCAAGGAGTTAGAAACAGTGACCTTGGGACAGGCTCCAGGAAAGTGGCCTGTGTGAGATCCTCTCTAGTCCCCAGTGCTCCTGGGAGAGGCAGCTCCTCCGCAAAGCCAGATGCCCTTCCAAACAGCTGCCACGTTGATGTTAGATCTTGTAGGTTTTCTTGATTCCGTTTGTTAATATAATCTTGTGTTCATGGGTATTAAAAGATGTGGGCCTGAGGTAACTAACGCTCATTCGGTTTATTGTAACAGTTATTCCTGAGCATTACACATGCTGAACAAAGCAAACTATTCACCAAGCTCTCAATCTGAGAGCTCCTTGGGTCAGTAAGCAGAGGTCACAGTCCTTTCCTAGTCCCACTGGTGAGTTAAATTCTGGAATGGCTCTGAATTATCAATATGTCAATAAAATGTCAGTCAGCCAGGGTGACATGCTGTTGCAGTATCGACTCTCGGATCGTAAAGCAAAAACATGTTTCAATTGTTTTTGCTGCATGTAGGGAAGTCAGTAAGTAGAGACCAGGTTTGAGAGGGTTAGAGATTGCCACTGATCTTTATTTTTCAGTTTTGACAGTCTTGCAGCGTTGCAGAATCCATTTCTCATTTCACCTGCAGAATTTATATCAGAGTCAGAAACAGTAATGTCCAAAGGGATAGCTCAGAAAATAGGCCATTCCAGGCTTACCTGGTAGGGCAGCACTGGTGCCCAGGTACAGCCATTGGCCAGCATACACATACTTGAGTCAGCTGCTGGTGATGGCTTTGAGGCATGGGAGGAGGAAATGGTGCCGCCTTTACCTCTGTAAGCATTTGCTTTACCTGATGAGACTCTCCAGGTATGGTGTGGTGAGGAATGTGACTGCGGCCAGACTGCAAAAGTGTGGGTGTGGCCTGTCTTCTGGAAAGTCCTCCTTATTTTTCCCCATGGGGCAACAATGCTTCCCCTTTTTCTTTGCTTTAACCCAGAGGTGAGTCTCATCTTGGAAGTCACTTAGGACTCTCTTTCTCCTGAGGGGACACACGTGGGCACAGATTTGAATATGTCTGTGCCCAGGGGCTTTTCCATCCTAAGGACCTGGTCATCCTTTGTGCTTTGGCTTGCTTCTCTTTTTCTTTTCATTGTACTTTTTTCTTTTTTTTGAGATGGAGTCTCGCTATGTTGCCCAGGCTAGAGTGCAGTGGCGTAATCTGGGCTAACTCTAGCGTCCACCTCTTGGGTTCAAGCGATTCTCCTGCTTCAGCCTCCCAAGTAGCTGGGACTACAGGCGTGTACCACATGTGTCTTTTTAGTAGACGGGGTTTCACCATGCTGGCTATGCTGATCTCCAGGTCCTGACCCCAAGTGGCCCCTGCCT